GTTCAAGCTACGGAACTAGGAGTTGGCACACGGGGGTAATCGAGCATGCTGATTACGAATACAATACTGGTTTTCAGAATTATCATTTATTTTTATCATTTTATCGATTTTTTGGCAAAGTTCAAGCTACGGGCTGGGAGTTGGCACACGGGGGTAACCGAGCATGCTGATTACGAATATGATAACCATTTTCGATAAAGCCCATTACTTTTATCATTTTATCGATTTTTTGGCAAAGTTCAAGCTACGGGCTGGGAGTTAGCACTCGGGGGTAGTCGAGCATGCTGATTACGAATATGATAACTATTTTCAAAAATGCCCATTACTTTTATCATTTTATCGATTTTCTGGCAAAGTTCAAGCTACGGGGTTGGGAGTTTGCACGGGAGGATAAGCGAACATGCTGATTACGAATACAATACTGGTTTTTAGAATTATCATTTATTTTTATCATTTTATCGATTTTTTGGCAAAGTTCAAGCTACGGGCTGGGAGTTGGCACACGGGGGTAACCGAGCATGCTGATTACGAATATGATAACCATTTTCGATAAAGCCCATTACTTTTATCATTTTATCGATTTTTTGGCAAAGTTCAAGCTACGGGCTGGGAGTTAGCACTCGGGGGTAGTCGAGCATGCTGATTACGAATATGATAACTATTTTCAAAAATGCCCATTACTTTTATCATTTTATCGATTTTCTGGCAAAGTTCAAGCTACGGGGTTGGGAGTTTGCACGGGAGGATAAGCGAACATGCTGATTACGAATACAATACTGGTTTTTAGAATTATCATTTATTTTTATCATTTTATCGATTTGTTTGCAAATTTTGGACTACGGGGTTGGGAGTTTGCACGGGAGGATGAGCAGACATGCTGATTACGAATACAATACTGGTTTTTAGAATTATCAGTTATTTTTATCATTTTATCGATTTTTTGGCAAAGTTCAAGCTACGGGGCTGGGAGTTGGCACACGGGGTTAATCGAGAATGCTGATTACGAATACAGTATTAGTTTTTAGAATTATCATTTATTTTGATCATTTTATCGATTTGTTTGCAAATTTTGGACTACGGGGTTGGGAGTTTGCACGGGAGGATGAGCGGACATGCTGATTACGAATACAATACTGGTTTTTAGAATTATCATTTATTTTTATCATTTTATCGATTTATTTGCAAAGTTCAAGCAACGGAACTAGGAGTTGGCACACGGGGGTAATCGAGCATGCTGATTACGAATATGATAACCATTTTCAAAAATGTCCATTACTTTTATCATTTTATCAATTTTTTGGCAAAGTTCAAGCTACGGGGCTGGGAGTTGGCACAGGAGCACAAGCGAACATGCTGATTACGAATACAATATAGCTTTTAGAATTATCAGTTATTTTTATCATTTTATCGATTTTTGCATGGTTCAAGCTACGGGGCTGGGGTTTGGCACACGGGGGTAATCGAGCATGCTGATTACGAATACCATAACCGTTTTCATAAATACCCATTACTTTTATCATTCTATCGATTTTTCTGCAGATTTTGAACTACGTGACTGGGAGTTGGCACACGGGGGTAAGGGAACATGCTGATTACGAATATCATAACATTTCAGAAAATACCCCTTACTGCTATTGGTTTAATTGATTTTTTGCAATGTTTGAACTATGGCGTTGGGGATTGGTACAGGCAGGTAACTGAGCATGCTGCTCACGAGCACATTCTTATTTTACAACTTGTCACTTACCTTCACTGGCTTTATCGATTTTTTGCAAAGTTTAAGCCGGGAACTGGGATTTGACACATGGGAGAAAGCGAGCATGTCGATTACGATTGTAATAAGTGTTCTTAGAAGGACCTATTATTTTTGTCGACTTTTCTATTCTTTGTAAAATTAGAGCTACACGGCTGACATTGCACAAAGTTGTATGTGAGCACGCTCACTGCAAAGATAGTTTTTGAGAAGTTCCATTACTTTTATTTTTCATCTTTTTTTCAAAGCTGAAGCTACGAGGCTCAGATGGCACTAATCCGGGGGTAAGTGAGCATGCTGAGAATTCTATAATCACACTCGCAAATGACGAAGGCGGTAAATTTACCTAAAGTTGTTATAAATTCACTTTGGCCTGCCTTTACCTTTTTGAATCCTACTTCTGCCCCCAAAATCAGAAAAGCACATAGAGCCTGGTTTTGAGGGAAGAAAATGCTTATAATGTAAGGTTCGGGAAAATATGCGAGTTCTGTCTTTTGTTACCTTCCAAACCGAACCTCAACCTTGAACATCATGATCATTATTAACTAGATTTATCAAACTGAACCGGCTCAGTACAAAGCATTAGATAAGGGAAAGCACGACAACAAGACAATAAACAGTAAGCAGTAGCATGGCTAGGCAATGCAAAGAGCTAAAAACTCAGGAGCGAGCTGCATTCCTCAGCTCCAGCCGCAGCCCAGCATGGGGCGGGGTGACTGAACGTCCGAGACCCTGCGCCCTTCTATTTATACCCGCTCGTTGGAGAACGACGAAAAAGAACACATGACTAGTGAGTGCATTAAATGTGAGATATGGTGCATAGCCTGCACATCTCACCTCCTCCGAGAAGTTCCGTCTCGGAACTTGTATAACATATAGGTAATAAGTTGGTGATTGAAATAATAGATAGACTCGGAGTTGTGGGCAAGAGCGAGTAAAGCACTATCACACTATTAATGCTACGTACAGATAAGACTATGAATATGTAGTGTTATCCGGTGAGCGGGGTTAAAAGAAGGGATGTATTAGGTCTGGACAGCGTTTGCGGCAGGAAGATGTGGAATTTAGCTTTACAACCCAGTAGTTTGTAATGATGCGGAAGTAAGGCAATCTTTGAAATATGCCACAAAAACTTCTACGAAATAGTAATAATGTGTGAGATCTATGCTTCCATTGGATAATTAATAACACAACTAATAGTAGAACAACACGTTCTTAAAGAGAGGAGAAATGAAATTAAATACAGAGAAATACGACTAATTGAAACACATTATACATATACGTGAAGATGACGTAATCATAGATGAGTCACTTCATGTGCTAGAAGAAGGCATGAGTCATTTAGAATGCACTTCAATGCGCGGAAATGACTTCATTGACTTTGTTGATGTTATGATTGATCGTATATTTGGTTTCTTCTCAAATGTGTTGATTGATACTGTTTGAATGTCGTTGATTCGCAACCATCTCGATTAGTAGAATTATAAAATCAGCTTGATGACGTTGTTGTTGTAGGATGGCACGATTAATCGATCGGGGCTTTTGTCCAAATCGTTGCTTCGAGCGAGGGAGTTGTTTCGCCATGACGAATAAGACCATGTGCGTCTGCTACGAAGTATCTGCTTTCGACGACTGTCGAGAGGAGGATAACAACTCGATTACAACGGCCGTTCCTGTTACTAATGGTTATCCAAAAGAGCCGTTTGATATGGTGATAGCCGTAGCGATTGGCGGTGCCGGTAAGTTTCAAAAGTAATAAAAAAAAGTCGAGTTGTCTCCTCTCTTGGATTTGGACTACGCTAAAGGAAGACAAAGAGACGAAAAAAAAAAGAATTAGTAGCAGTATCCTTTTTTTTTTTTGAATTTTATTTTCAGTGATCCTGCTACTGTGCCTATTGCTGATTATGGTAAATGGCTGTTGTGTTTCTACTAGGAGGCGGCGTCGCGTACCAGCCCAAAGAACGAAAAGAGGTGTGACCGGCGTTCTTGTGGCGACTGATCCATTTGCACTGAACGAAACAATGGTATAATTACGTTCACTTATGGGAATCAAAATAGTGCTTGATTTTTTTTTCTTTCTCTGATCTCTTGCCTTTAGATCTCAACGAGATCTCTACGTATTGTTGCCTTACTTTAGCATGAATAAAAGGTGTAAATGATTAGATGTTGGCTAACAAGCGATGAAGCAAAAGCGTAAGCTTTTTTTTTTTTTTTGAGGTTCATTACGGCGTTGGCGAGCTAGGTGGTGATTTGTAAAGTTTGGTACGATTCATATGGATAGTCCTAGTCCTATTACCGTCACGGATGGTTATATTTGGCTTTTCGATGTCCAAAATTTCAAAAGGTCCGTCAAATCGCGGGGCAATTTTTGGTCCTACGTCTTTCCTGATCAAAACTTTATCGCCAATCTGATAATTTGCAGACTGCGCGCGTTTCCTCAGATCATAACGATGTTTTTGCGCGGTTTGAGCGGACTCAATATTCTGATGAACATGCGTCCATACATTTTTGAGGATTGGAACTAATTGGTCTGCATAATCTTCTTCGTTCACGAATCTTTTTGAAGGCAATTCTAAAGCAAGACGGAAGGGGTTATTAGGCTCTTGACCATGGACTAAAAAGTGAGGCGTATACTTCGTTTCCGCATGTTCGCAAATATTATAGGCGTGCGTTATTAGGTGTAAGACGTCGTCCCACTTGTCACTATGTTCCACAGTTGCGATGGAGATCAATTCCTGCAAAGTACGATTAGCCCTCTCCACCTGACCATTGCTTTCATGGTGATATGGAGTACTGGTTTTATGTTGTATGTTAAGCAATTTGAGAGTGTTTTTGAAATTTTCGCTCATGTAGTTGGAGCCCTGATCGGTCACCAACGTATGAGGTGGTCCAAAACGAGCAACAAACCTATTAATGAAAACGTTACATGTTGTGTGCGCCTTTTGGTCAGGTAGAGGTTCAGCGACAATAAATTTAGAGAATGCATCTACAAATACTATAATAAATTTATTACCTTCAAGGGTGAGTGGTAACGGCCCAATGCAGTCGGAGTGTACGCGTTCCCAGGGACGCGTTGGTATGTCAAATGCTCCCATAGGTTCGTTAACCTTGTATGTCGAAGGATCCTTGCGGATCTGGCATAATTTGCAAGAACTAACATAGTCGTTAACATCCTGCAACATCTTATTCCACACCGCAAGTTTAGATACTGCTTTGTAAGTTTTCTTAATTCCGAGGTGAGCTGTACCCATTTGAGATGAGTGCATCTTTTCTATGAGTTTTCTCCCTACCTGTGAATTCTCGGGCAACACTAACTGAGGTAATTCTGTAATTTTGGTTGGTATTTTGTAAAGCATGTCATTGATGATAATATACTCAGAGAGTTCAGGCTCATCAGAACCTTCTTGCAAGGCTGTCTTATACAGAGATATCCACGGGCACTCATCTTGCTCCTTTCTCGCTTCTGTAGAGGAGAAATGATATTCTTCCTCCTCTTCGCCTGTGGATATACCATAGATAGGCGGATTACGTGAAAGAGCATCGCACAGTAAATTGTGCTTACCGGGGCGATAAACAATTTGAATATCATATTCCTGCAATATTATTTGATATTTTGCCAAGCGTCCCATTAGGTCTTTGCGATGCAAGAGAGCCTTAAGTGGTGCATGATCCGTGATAACGGTACATTTCGCACCGTCAATATACGGGCGGAATTTCTGCACCGCAAAAACTAATCCCAGCGCTTCTAGTTCTATTGGTGGATAACGAGATTCATGTTGATTTAAAGCCCTACTAGCATAAGCTATGCATCTCATTTCTCCATTCTGATCTTGTCTCAAAACTGCGGCTACGGCCTTAGAAGAACCGTCTGTTTCAATCACAAATGGTTCTCCTAGACGAGGCGCTGCCAAAATGGGTGGTGAAACAAGATGATCTTGGAGTTCGGACATAGCGTCCGCACATTCCTTTGTCCATACAAATTTTGCATTTTTCTTCAAAAGATTATAAAGCGGAGCTGCTATAAACGCAAAGTTATAAATAAAACGTCTGAAAAAGGAACACATTCCCAAAAACGCTCTCACTTCACTCACATTAGTTGGCGTCGGGTAACGGCGAATTGCCTTTACCTTTTCAGGACTGGGTTGTATTCCATCCTTACTTAGGATAAACCCTAAAAATTCTATTTCCTCCCGTGCGAACTCACATTTGGAAGCCTTAAGCTTCATACCTATAGCCTCAATCTGGGAAAGGACTTCGTCTATATCCTGAAGGTGTTCTTCAGGAGTTTCCGAAGTTACAATAAGGTCATCTATATAAATAAATACGCGCGCTCTTAAGTGCTTCTTAAAGTCATTCATAATTCGTTGGAAGGTGGCCGGCGCTCCCTTTAGCCCCATTGGCATTCTAACATACTCGAACGTCCCCAAAAAGCAAGCGAAGGCTGTGCGCTCACAGTGGGACTCCTCTAATGGGATCTGGTGAAATCCCTGCTGGAAGTCCAATGAGGTATAAAGGCACTGATTTGCGCACAGATCCACGATGTCCTGGATGTTGGGCAAAATAGACGATTGCGTTTTGGTTATCGCATTTAGGCCCCTATAGTCAATTGTGAAGCGCCAGCTGTTAGAGTCCTTCTTTTTCACGAGCACTATTGGGGCGCAGTATGGGGATGTGCTCTCACGGATGATACCTTCCCTTAGCATTTCGATGACCTGACGCTCGATTTCATTGCGCTTTTCCAGAGGGACTCTATAAACCCTGCGTGCAGGTATCTGCGCATTTTCTATGAGGTCGATGCGATGTCTTATATGACCTCTATAGTGACCTAAATGCCCGTCCGGGCCTACAAAGGCTCGGGAATGGCACCTCAATAATGTTTTGAGATTGTTTAGGTGTGGTTCTGGGAGCGCAGTCTTCGAGAAATCTATCTCGTTGACCACGTCAAAATCAGTGGAAGGTGCTGGGAGCATAGGCATTCTACTCTCCCAGTCTGCTTCCGGTGGGATATAAGGCTGTTGGTAAGGACGGAATGTGTTTTCTATATCTATTGCACAAACGCGGGTATATGACTGCGGAAGAGGAGTAGCTGTAGCGATATTCATGCCTTGATATAGCAGTATGTCTACATTGGAGGGATTCATTATGTTTACTACACAAACACCATCAAAAGTGGGGGTGACCAAGCATCGTCCGATAATGTATATGTCCCGAGAGGGTCTTTCATTATCTTCAATTATGAAGTCAAAAGGCTTAGTTGAGAAATATCCTTCTATGATTGCAGGAACGATATTATTAGTTCTTCTAGGTAAGAATGTGCGATCAGTGAGGCGTACATTATAGGGGTTTTCTAGAGGAGCAGATGCATAATTTAACTGGACCAAATCAATGGTTTCAGACCCTATCGTCAAGGATTTGTTATGGAAATCTATAGTAAAATTAAATCCAGCTTGATTCAGCTTGGTTATGAAGTCAGAGCCCAACAATACCGGGGCGGGGCAATCCTTATCGTCAGAGATATAGAATTCATGTTCCATTAAATAATTGCCAATTTTGACACGTGGCGATATAGAACCCTGCAGTCTGACGCTAGTACCATTAGCTGCTCTGGCCGTGATAGGGTTATAATCGAAATAGTCGATGTTATGCCAGGCCCTTATTATCGCCAAGGTTGATTTTCTTATATAGGAAATAGACGCGCCGCTATCTATCAAAGCCGTGAATGGGTGATCTTCAATACGGATTCCTATATAAGGTAATTTATGGAACTTAGTATTCTTGTAAGCCTCTAAAGAGTAAATGCGAGGTATGAACAACGTCTCTGCTTCTTGAGGAGTCTCAGGTTCTTGAGGAACAAGGGTGTTAACTTGAGGAAGTTGTTTACGTTTCTTTGACATAAAAGTGTTTGCAAGATCAAACATAGCATTAGCGGCAGTGGTCGTTGTTCTTCTAACGAGATAAAGCTTGATGGATAAAACACAAGCGCAAACTAAAAGAGGAATGACTATCATAGGAATGGAGACCCATAAGAGGAAACTAATAATTGACCATTTTATTCGCTCTACGCCTTGCGAAAGTTTTGTTGTTGTTTTATCATAGATAGAGCGAAGACTCTGACCAACAGAGTTGCCTGCATTTTGAATATGAGAGAGAGCATCGTCAATTATTCCCCTCTTACGTAATCTCTCGTTAATATTTTGTTGTTGTTGTGTTAGACTCTTTATATGGAAAGTAGTAGCTAGGGAGCTTTGACGCATAATATGGAAGAAAGGAGAAGATGCATTAAAAAGGAAAGGCTGCACTTTTTCGTCAATTAATATATTGGGTGGAAGCATATATTGAATGGCATTACTGGCATAAACCGTATCTAAGAAAGGGCAAGAAATTACAGGAGAGTCTTGTATGAGATCTTTGGTTCCTGGGACAGAGAACCATAGTTCATCGTCAATTAGGACAGGGGTCAAGGCATAACATGTACCATTGATATTATGATCTTCTATCACTGCTGAAGGAATGACTGGCTTACATCGAGAGACGAGCAGATCATTTTTGTATAAAGTAGCCGCTATATCATCGCGATTTAATAACATACGCACTGTCCAAGTTGGATTAACTAAGCGAAACGCTTGCAACCGTTGGGTATTGAAATACTGTCTAGTACAGATGTTGTTAAATAGGTTTCTCGTTGAGTAGTCATTTGGTGGCACGACATAACGAGGATAATTAATAGGCTGAGAAGCACGATAAGACAACGATGAATTAAAAGTATCGAAGCGAGGCTGAGGAGATGATCTGACTCTATGGATAGGAAGGTTTTGATAAGCGGGCTCGGCTACTGGTGGACTAGTCACAGGAGGGTTTTGATAAGCGGGCTTGGCCACTGACGGATTAGTCACAGGAATGTTTTGATAAGCAGGCTTGGCTACTGGTGGATTAGTCACAGGAAGGTTTTGATAAGCGGGCTTGGCTATTGGTGGATTAGTCTCTTGTGCGTGGGTGACCATGACCTTTGGGGCGCGTGATGGTGGTGTGCTTTCAGAATTCGCACGCGTAGGGACCATGACTTTTGGAGCGTGTGACAATTGTGTACTTCCGAAATTTACACGCGTAGATGTTAGAACAGGCTTAATAGTACTGGTTAGGCGCTCAGCGGAACGTCTAGTAGAAATTGTGTGATAAAACTGGGGTTTAGTAAAGTCTACGAAAGGAATAGAGGAGTTATGCAAATATCGCGGGCGAGGATCAAGATTTAATTTACCAAATTCTTCGTTTAAATAAGGATCGAAAATATCTACCAAGCCTTTTTCTAAATCTTGACGTATTTGAAACTCAGCGTACGTAAGCCTTCTAGATTTGCGAATTTTACGAAATAAATCCAACTGACGACTTCGGTATTCCGCGTACCTAACTGTCCTCAGTGCACTTATGAGAGGATCCTCTGGTGCATATAATTTGGTTCTTTGCTCGAAATCCGCGTTTGTAACGTTCCAACGGTTGATCTGCTCGAGAAGTGTCGGTTCTGTAATTGGATGGACGTTAAAACGTGGCAACTGACTAAGATCTGTTACGGAATAGAGCTTAGTTATTAAAGGTATCGTTTGCTTTGGAACTATCTCGTATGAGGAAGTGTGTCCTTCCGCGTCACTCCACGTACGTAGGTCTCTTCGCGCGCGCCGGATATAGCCTGATCTATTCACTATAAATTCCTGAACAAGAATAGATTGCGGTATTTGGGGGAACACTAAAAGTTGCCGAGAGGTCGTTAAATAAGTATTTGGAAGATTACAATCTTTAGTGAGATCAAAGTGAATTTGATAATTATCATAAAATTCGAAAGTGAGATCATTTTCCGGTATAACTATGAAAGTCGGGGTCACCAGACCGTCATATGAGCCTATAAGCTCTACCCTACAGAATGGTGCTATTCTGATTGGCTGCCATACTACCGTCCCCTGTGGAGTGTGACATTTACCATCCCAGAGTGTACAATTGTCAAGATTTCCTAAAGAGCTAGTCATAGCGCGACCGTCAAACGAGATGATTTCGCCCATTTCCATTGAATAAATGCTACGAAGATGGGTGGCAGTACCCCATAAAGGCAACGACTCATTGGCGTGGTCTATCTCTGTTGTCATGTATAGACCATCTGTCACCGACTCAAGTGCATGCCCTCGTATGCTCAAGGTGGCTTCAATAGTTCTACAATCCTCAGGGGACATTGGCAAGCGCTGTCTTTCGAGCACTTTATAAGATGTGCGGATATAGAGGATATTATAGACTGACACAGTTATGACATCCTGATAGCATCTGGCAGCGGGGATCTGCAAAGGATGATTTTTGGCATTGTAGATTTGGACTTTTGTTTTTATCATAGGCTCCGTTGGAGGAGCTCGGCACTTTATCGGCTTTGGTAATGCGAGAATATTAGCGAATTGGGTTGTTCCGCAAATCTGATACTCTGCAGCGAAGGAACACGAAAAGAGAGTCATCAAACAAGCAATACAAAAGAGATTACTAGCTGTAGGCATTACTGAAGAACGACTGTTCTGCGGGTTTAATGGCGTAATAGCGTAATTCGGCGGAGCGCTTGGGCCCAGAGGATACGATATCGACGGGTAGAAACCCTGCATCTCATATGGATTATAATTCCTTGTAATTATCCCCCTGGGGCGCCTGAAAGGTCTGCCCCTAGTACTGGAAGCATTTAGGAACGGTCTGAAGAATGGGCGGTTGCTTGTACGCGCATTTTGGGGAAATCGGCGATTAGTACCCAAAAAGTTGCGACTTTGTCCACGCCCCCGCCAAGAACCACGATTACTCAGTTTGAGATTGTCCACTTGCTTTTGTAAGCGATCTATTTTATCTTCTGTTATTAGAGAATTGATGGTTCTTAGAGTCTCTGAATCTTCAAGTCTCTCTTGCTCAAGTATTCGCGCTTCTTTTTCTGCATTAGAAACTACAGTTTCAAAATCTTGATCTTGAGGAAGACGTCGGACTGCTTTACGTATATCTGGTCTAAGGCCTTTGATAAAGAAATCTTTTGCCAATTGGGTGACCATTGCTTTGTCTTGGCCCTGGAATGCGACCTTTGTTTTTGCATATATCTTTTTCGCGAACTCGCCTACGGAATCTTTGCCTTGCGTCAAACTATGTAGTTCGTCCCTTACATTACTCAATAAGGCTTCACTTTTGAATTTAGTAGCCAGCTGAGTAACTAAGTCCTTCCAAGGAAGCTTATCAGCGTCCTCTAAGTTCTGGTATTTGAGCTTCGCACCGCCTACTAGAAATAATGGCAAGAGGCTTTTTGCTTGCTCCTTTGGTATTTTGAATCTAGAGATGAGATCGGAGTAATCTTCCAAAAACTCCTCAAACGTCCTATCTCCTACTCCCGAAAACTTCTCTATTT